GGATTCCCGCTCTTACTTATGGTACAGCGACGTGGTGTGTAAATTTTGACGTGTGTCTGTTAGGTATGTATGTAGGTTATAAAATGATTACATAGCTTTGGCGTATATATTCCGTACTTATAAAAGACGTTCTGTTTCTTCATAGTATAATGATTTTAACCATTTCCAAAGCGTAGTTTTACAATCATATTTTTTTAATTATTTTAATTTAGTGCAGAATTAATACAGTATTTTATACAGAATTTAATACAGAAGAATATTGCACCTATCATGGACTCACAAAGTCACCAATGATGAAGTTCTGCGACTAGTTGGACAGAAGCGTAAACTTTTGCAGACCATCAAACAGAGAAAAGTTGCATATCTGGGTCATGTAATTATGCATGACAGATACGAGCTTCTGGAATTGATAATGATGGGAAAAGTGCTGGTAAAAGGAAAGCTGGTCGTGGTTGAGGAATATGTTCTCGTATGCGAGAGCGGACTGGGATAGCGAGTGCCGCCCAACTGTCCAACCTCGCCAGAAATAAAGATATGATAATATAATATGCTGAGCTGACTGCCAACCTTCACTAGTTGGAGAGGCACTTTAAGAAGAAGAAGAAGAAGATTTTAATTAGTTGATATACGTTTAATACTTTATTTATTTTACTAAACTTATGCCCATTAAACTGTTATGATTGTACAACTATTATGTGGCTTCATTTCCCGGTAGAAACAGTTTGGGAAATTAACTTTTCTAAATTGATTAAAAATGATCTAGGTTGTACCTTTGTTGCTCTGTTACTCATAGTACAAGGAATTCGCAAGTTTGAGTCCAGGTAATTGGTGTATATGCCGTGGTAGCCTAATGATTTGACCTACCACCTCTCAAGCAAAGGCCGTGGGTTCGAATCCTGCCCCGCACCTCTCAGTTTCTCGGAATCTATGTGGGAACTTTTATTAATTTAAAATTTACCATGAGCTTTTCGGCGAAGGAAAATCTGCATGTCGAAGAATCTGAACCCCCGAAAAACAAGTGAACTCGCCAACCCACATTTGGCCAACGTGGCAGACTACGACCTAAACTCTCGCCTGAGAGGAGACCCGTGCCCAATAGTACATGTAAACGTATTGATGATGATGATAATAAAATGTAATCACCAGTATTAACATTATTTTTATCAAATACATTGAACATTTCTTGTCTATAAAATTATAACTTTAGAAACATAATTGCATTTACATTGTTCTGACTAGACGACTAAGCATTAAGAACCTCTCAGACTATCTTAGGGTACATTACTCATCTCTATTATGTTTATTGCGCGATAGGGTATATCCATAACTGTCGTGTAGAGATGCCGCGGATATCCGTCGATGCGTCATACTTATACGAACATAGTGTACTACGTTTTACAGTAAGTAATCTTAAATATCGAGAACATGTGGTATTACTAAGTTGTTCTGAGGTTGTGGAACGTGTGTATGCAAAACAGTCAGTGTCAAAATTACGTAAAAAAAATAATAAAAAATAAAAGTATATGAAATAACAATTTAGTAGCAGTAGAGCTCCTTGTGTGAGAATTCGTCCAGGGTAGTACTGCCACCTTACCTATTTCTGCCGTCAAGCAGTAATGTCATCATTACTGTGTGTTAAAGGGCAAGGGTGCTGGTGAAATTATAGGCACGTGGGACTTGTCAACTTATGTCTCAGAGTGACGAGCGCAGTGGCAGTGTCCTTAAGATCTTTGCGATTTAAAGGTCTGAGTGGCATTGCTACTGTTATGGATAGATGTCGCTTGCCACCAGGCGCACGACTTGTTCGTTCCGTCACTTGGTATTATAAAAAAAAGCTTTATTGAGGCGAAGTATCTCAAAATTACGTCACATTACTATGAGCGGAATATTTTAAGATAAAGTTGATCATTTAACGCTCTTTAGTTTCATAATAAAACTACTTATATAATACACGCTACGTTTGTGTGTATTTGTGTTGTGTGCTATGTGTGCGTGTAGTTACAACACAGTAGTGATAGGTACATTATTAAATATGAATTACATATTATATGTTTTACTGTGTGTGTGTGTGTGTGTGTGTGTGTGTGTGTGTGTGTGTGTGTGT